GGCTGCCTCTAGCACAGGGAGGTGCAGCTGGCCGGGATCTGGGGGGTTTCTGCCTGCTCCAAAGCCCTGGGCAGCAGCAGGGGCAGCAGCAGGGCACAGCTCCCCTCAGCAAGGGCTTCTCCTCACCAGGACAATGCCTCCAAGCTCCTCTTGGCCCTCATGGAGAGCAGACACGACAGCGAAAATGCCGAGCGGATCCTCATCAGCCTCCGCCCGCAGGAACTGGTAAGGGCTGACAGTGAAACCCCCCAGCCTTGCACCGCTGACCCCCCCAGCCTCCCCTGTCTGTGCCCGTTGCTGGACCTCTTCTGCCTGCGGGTTCTGGCGCGCTCTCTGGTTTGCAATCCAGTCAACGTCTCGGCCATCGCTCTGATCACACGTCGCCTTCTGCACGCGTGTCCCACCTGCTGGTATTCCCGGAGCCGTTCGTGGACAGAGGAGGAAAGCGAGGCAAGGAGATGGGGAGAAGCTCACTGTCCCTCTGCTGCCTTCCAGGTTGACGTGATTAAGAAGGCCTACCTGCAGGAGGAGGAGTGTGAAAATGCTGAGGTTTCTCCCCGGGAAGTCGGCCACAACATTTACATACTGGCGCTGCAGGTACTGCGCTGTGACAGCAGGGTCCCTGCCAGGCTGGGCTCCCCGGGCTGGGCTGGGCTGCACTCGCTGATTTGCACGTTATTTTTTCTGTATGTATTTACATTTCCTGCAGCCAGGCTGGCCCCACTGGGGAGGCATGGCTGGGAAATGTGGGTTTGGCTCCTGTGAAAAGGCAGCCCCCAGCCTTGCTGGCCGTCCCGCTCCCCTGTGCACCCCGGGTCCCGCTCCTGTGTTTGCCGGTGGCTGCTGGCCGCCCGGTGCTCACCCGGCTATCGCCGTCCTTCTTCCAGCTGTCCCGACACAACAAGTCCCTGCAGCAGCTCCTGAAGCCGGTGAAACGAATCCAGGAGGAGGAGGAGGAGGGCATCTCGTCCATGGTATGGAGGGGCCCACCCCAACCCTGACCGGAGGCTGCAGAGCTGCTTCTCCCACCCTTGCTGAATCACCTGGGTTGTGTTGTTTAAGATTTGATGGGTTTTGGTATTCCCCAGGGGAACTAAAGAAAGAAAAACTTACTAGTGCCCTTGTAGCCCAAAGGCACGTGGCCCTCTATGATCAGGCTGCGCAGAGCTGTGTCTGCGGGGCTCCCCAGGGAAGGCTCAGCCATGGGGGACGTCCAGCTCGCCGCAGGGACAGTGGCCCTGATGGGGTCCTGCTGGTACCTGCTTTCTCCTCTTCCCTGCAGAAAAGGAAGGGCTGAGTCCTTTGCTGTCATGTCTTGCCTACGTACCTTAGATTCCAAATGAGATTCAGCAGTAATATGATTTCCCTGGGGTTTTATGGGCATTGATTTGTAATTTGTGGATTAGCAGCATTTGGATGTAATTATTGCAGGGAATCGAATGTCTGTCACCTCAGGGAGGGCTCGTACCCCTTTAGGAAGCTTTAATTGATTTGCTTTTCCCTGAAACCTCATCAGCTTTGGGAGATTTTGTGGAGTGCTGTTGTCAGTGCCGAGTCAGACCCGACTCCCCTGGCTGAGGCCACTCTCACCCTCTCTCCCTCTCCCCACATCCCAGCTCAGCCTAAATAACAAGCAGCTGACGCAGATGCTGAAGTCGACAGCCCCGGTGCAGGAAGAGGAGGAGGATCCGTTGGCATACTACGAGAAACACACATCCCAAATTGAGGCAAGACCCGTTAGCTGTTGGGTTGCCAGTACGCACGTGGTCGGTGAACCCACGTGTGCTCCAGCTGCCTCGTGCCCGGTGATTTTGCGCCAGGAGCCTTCCCATCCCTGTGCCGGCAAGAAGCAGACGGGCCTTTGCTCTGCGGAGAGCTGGACGTGTCAGCAGAGCCCGTGAAGAGCTGAGGGAACGAGCTGTCCCCGGCCTCTTCCTCTTCCAAATCCCAGCAGCAGCGGGGATGCAGCCGAGCCGGCAGCCCCATCCGTGCTTGTCAGCACGGATCCCCGTGCAGATGGGCCAGCAAGGGTTCACATGCTCTCAGCTTTCCTCCAGCACAGCCAGGGCTGCCTCTGCGGGTCAGTCCGTAGCGTTATAGATGAGTGGCCGGTGATATTTGGATCCCGGTGGAGTGGGCAGGAGGAGGGGAAGGCTCAGCTGGGGCTAGGAAAGAGGAAACCAAAGCCTGGCAGGGGCAGGATCTGACGGCACCCTCCCCTTCGCCCTGCTTCCTGCAGATTGTGCGCCTGGACCGAAGCATGGAGCAGATAATCTTCCCCGTGCCTGGCATCTGCGAGTTCCTCACCAAGGAGACCAAGTACCGGCTCTTCACCACCACGGAGCAGGATGAGCAGGGCAGCAAAGTCAGTGATTTCTTCGACCAGTCGTCCTTCCTCCACAACGAGATGGAATGGCAGAAGAAACTGCGCAGTAAGAGCACACCAGACCTTCCCTGGGGGCTCCCCCTGCCCAGCACGGGCACTTCCAATAGCCCCTGTTGTGAAAATGGGGGGCAGCTCCCCTTTGAGAGTGCTGCAAACCCTGGCAGCAGCCTGGAGATCGCGTCTCTCGGCTCCTTGTGCCCCTTGCTCTGAAGAGCACAGCACGCTCGGCAGTTTGCAGGGAGCGGAGGTTAATTAAGATCTCAGGGATGTATTTCCTCCATGCTGTTAGTGCAGTTCCTCAGTAGGCTGAAATCCATCTTGCAGCACATTCCCTGGGATTACACCTGCAGGTGTTTTCCCCTGGAAAGCCCTCTCTTCATTTGTTTTCAGTTGCCTTCTCCTAAGACAGGATCTAGCAGCTACACATGGGAAACAAAACTTGTTTCTCTGCACCCTGCAGACTTGCTTAGGTGCTTTCAGGGCTGCATCAGGACGGAAATCCTGCCTTAAAATAACAGGAGCTCGATAAAGAGTCACACTATAAATACTTGTGATGCAGCTAAGGGGTAGTGTAGCGGCTCTGAAAACACTTGCAGATCCAGTCAAAACTATCTTAGGAATTCAGCAGG